AAGGTGCCATTTGTAAAAGTGACGCCAAGAATCTCACATCCTCTCTTTTATCTACTAAACATGGGTCACTGTGATAAAGGATAACTGTTAGGTGAAATCTTAGGTAATAACCATTATGCCAAATAGTGAATGTATGATGTGGGCATTAAAAAGTGACAAAAATATGAAATGTTTCAAATAGCTGCCCATAGGTGATTTAGAAAGCTAAAATGAGTTCAATTATTTTACTTCATATTGTGAAGCACCTAGAATAATTGGATTGTGGAAAGGAGCCAGGTAAAAATGCAAGGACAGACATCAGAGCATTTTATAATTTCTCTTACAAAATCAAAAGGAATTCTCAGTCAGTTTACATTTTGTGCTCCTCACTAACATGTAGAAATGCTTTGCCAGTATAGCTTTTGTTTTCTGGCATTAACAAATTTAGCCCCTCCTGGAACAAAATACTAGGATTTTAAAGGGATTTGCAAACATAGTTGACAAAGATACAAAATAGAATACAGTCTAATATTTTGTTCTATGTGTCCATATGAAAATAGCATAAGTGCTAGCTAAAATAAATGACAGAAAAAGAATAACATTAAATCTTGATGAACATATTTCTTCATATGCTTCTTGAAGGAAATGAAAACCCTCAAAATTAGGGAGCGAGAAATGTCAAAATGTTAATCAAAGTAGGTACGATTTTAAGGCACTCAACTCAGATTAGAAAAGTAGTGAGAGGTTCTAAAATACTAGGTATTATTTTTGTAAGAAGCAGCATACCTACTAAAGGTATAAAAAACATTCTATTCTATCCTAAGCAACATTCCTGGAAGAAATTCCAGCAGCAGACTGTAAGGGAAATGGAGTGTGGAAAACCAAATTACAAATTGCTCGGGAAAGAATAACACTGCTTAGAAAGTGAACGTCAATTGACATTGGAAGCATTTCACCTGTTCTCACTTAAATCTTCAATCTTTTTTCCCTGCTGGTTTAAGATAGAACACATAGCTTAATGGAGCAGGAGGGAGTACGAGCTAAATATTTCAGAATGGCCACACTGACACGCTCAATGGAATTTCCTTTGACTAAAACTAGGCATTTGGATAATCTCCCAATTGATACTTGAAACAGTTGTGTTCTATTGGGCTTTTTTGTCTTTCTATTACATAAAGTTCACTTTAATCAATTAAGACAGAAGCTCTAAAAACCATCACAAAATAGGACACTATTTCATGAAATTTTCAGAGATTATTATGTTAATCACCGGTGAACCTGTATACATGCTAACTCCTGTGGATAGTCTGCTTTAATTGTAGCACCAATTTTATGAGGTATAACAAATCCATTTAAAAATTATCATCATCATTCCCATTTTATAGATAATCAATATGGTAGATTCAATACTTGAACTCATGCTTTCACATTTAAGAAACTCTGATTGTTGGAATAGGCGTTGTGGTACATGCCTGTAATTGCAGCTACACAGGAGGCAGATATGGGAGGATAATGGTTCTAGGTTAGCCTAGGCAATAAAGTTGAGATCTTATCTCAAAAATCAAGTTTGGTGTGGTGGTGCAAACATTTTACCTCATTTACGTGGGAGGCAGATGTAGGAGCATCTAGGCCACAAGCAAAAGTGAGATCTTACTTGAAAAATAAGCTAAAGCATAATGGCTAGGAACATGGCTCAAGTGGTAGAATACCTGTCTAGCAAGTCTGAGGCCCTGAGTTCAAACTCCAGCACTGCCAAAAACAAAAGTTAAACAAATGTCCACTTCAGTTCAGAGAAGTACTACATTAAAAAATAAACAGAGGAAGAAAACCTGCTCTGTACTTGTACAGTGGCTATAGGTGGCCTTCCTTATGAATCATGGGCTCTGTACTGTGCTGTCCATACACTGTTACTGGCTATGGATACTTATTGATGACAAGGATAATCAGAATTAGGTCTATGACCTGGAAACTCAGGCAGGCAGTAGGATTAAGAATACAAATATTGCTTTTTCAATATGAAAAACAGGTCACTCTAAGAGTAGATCACATATGAAATGAGGAGGGTAAAAGAAGGAAGTTAAGAAGGTGAACATGGGTGATGTACTTCCTATACAAATATCACTTTTGTTTAAATTTTTTAACATTAAAACCATAATAGACACACTATGACTTTGAGTTAGATAACCAGTTACGAGCATTAACATCCAAAAGTGATCTGTTTTACATACCAGCATGTTCTCCCATTCTCAAGGTTTAAGAATTACTGATATGTAGAAAAAAATAATATAACATTTACTGAGTAATTTTGATGAGCCAGGCACCATTCTAAGAGCACATTCAATCTTCTCAACAAATTTATGATTTTTTTTAGTATTGAATTTTGCACATGAAAACAAGTAAGTCCTAGATAATTCAAGAAACTTCCCAAAAGACTGTTACTCCAGAGGCACCTGCACATCCATGTTTATTGCGGCACTATTCACAATAGCCAAGTTATGGAAACAGCCAAGATGCCCCAGCACTGACGAATGGATTAAGAAAATGTGGTATCTATACACAATGGAATTTTATGCAGCCATGAAGAAGAACGAAATGTTATCATTCGCTGGTAAATGGATGGAATTGGAGAACATCATTCTGAGTGAGGTTAGCCTGGCCCAAAAGACCAAAAATCGTATGTTCTCCCTCATATGTGGACATTAGATCAAGGGCAAACACAACAAGGGGATTGGACTATGAGCACATGATAAAAGCGAGAGCACACAAGGGAGGGGTGAGGATAGGTAAGACACCTAAAAAACTAGATAGCATTTGTTGCCCTTAATGCAGAGAAACTAAAGCAGATACCTTAAAGCAACTGAGGCCAATAGGAAAAGGGGACCAGGAACTAGAGAAAAGGTTAGATCAAAAAGAATTAACCTAGAAGGTAACACCCACGCACAGGAAATCAATATGAGTCAATGCCCTGTATAGCTATCCTTATCTCAACCAGCAAAACCCCTTGTTCCTTCCTATTATTGCTTATACTCTCTCTACAACAAAATTAGAGATAAGGGCAAAATAGTTTCTGCTGGGTATTGAGGGGGGGAGCGGGAGGGGGTGGGGGCAGGGGGGAGAAATGAACCAAGCCTTGTATGCACATATGAATAATAAAAGAAAAATGAAAAAAAAAAAAAAAGAAACTTCCCTACAGTTACACACCTACAAATGATAGAACTCAGAGAATCTGATCCCAAAGATAACACATTTACCACCATACTACATTCTCTTTCATTATTCCACTGGAATAATTAGAAAACAATTGAAACAAATGTGAAAGCATTCTTCAAAGTGGTAGGGAAGTGGCTCAATCAACGATTCAGAAAACAAAAATTATTTCATGACTAGAGAAGTTATTCAAGATGGGCCTAAGCCTTACAAAACTGCACTGTAACTTTTGCTTGTCTATCACCCTACTTTCCTTGTCTTTCTCTTCCTCTTTCTTTCTCTGAGTTTTTCATAATTTTAACCTTGCTCTAGACAACTATACTAACTACCCTTGCTTGTGCCCAAGTGTCAAAGTGCTAGTGTTTAGTAAATCAATTCAACACCTCTATTTACTTCACTAAAAGCATGTCATATTTGATCATTTTACATTTGAAAATGTTTAGAAGCAATAGTATGTGAATAAAAAAAACTATGGCTGAATTCAGCAACATGGAGGAATCTCATAAATATATGGAATGTTTAGCAAAAGAAACCAGATGTATAAAGCAATACTATATATGACTAAATTTATGTAAAATGAAAAAATACACAAACTAATGTATGGTGTTAGATTTCAAGATAGTAGTTACCCTGGGAAGAGAGTATAAGGGAGACTTCTGGGATTCTACTGCCATTTTGGATTCTACTGCCATTTTGATTTTGTATCTGGCTGATGGTTTCATTTTGGGAAATTCATAGATGTTTTGTGTACTTTAACATTACACTTCAGTAGAAAAGCTTATGATAAAAGGCAACAAATCATCCAAATTCTCATCTGCTAATTGAACTTTACCATTACTTTCTTTCTTCCAAAAAGATGCAATTAATTTGTTTTATAAAGCTGATATTGCCATATAAGATTGCAAAGTTTTCTTAATTAAAAATGCTTTATGAGATATTTTTAAAGTCATCTTTATTGAAGTGTAGTTTATAAATAGCAATGTTTAACCCTTATGTACTTTATATGTAATAAAATGTACAGCTCTATGGTTTTTAACAACCACTTTCTCTTGTGCATCCACAACCACAACCAAGACACAGAATATTCCATTGCCCCACCTCTGTAGTCAGCCTCACCTCCCAACCTCCAGCTTCTGGCAACTCTGATCGATTTTCTGTCCCTATAGTTTTCCAGAATGCCATATAAAAAGAATCATGAAAAATGCATCCTTTACAGTGTCTGGCATCTTTCATTCAATATAATGAATCTGAGGTCAGTCTACATTGTATATGGCAGAAATTTGTTCATTTTTATTACTCAGTAATGTAACAATTCAAGTATATGTCACAACAGAGGAATGTCTAAATAGTTTCCAATTTGGGGCAATTTTGATTTAAGCCACCACAAACATTTTTGTGCAGATTTGTGTGTGAACGTGAGAAATATATGTTGTTTTTTAATTCAAAGTTATACTTTTACCTGCACAAAATGAACACCTGGTAAGCACAGAACTTATGCAAATTTCTCCTTACAAATATTACTTTGTGAAATTATATACAAAGTTCAGAGGAAATGTATTCTATTAAAGCTCTAATTTAATAATTAAAAATCACATTTAAGTTGTACAAAATTAAAAACCAGTTACATTACTAATTAGAACTCTAGAATCATAATGATAAAAGGAAAGAGTTATGATAGGTAGCTTGAAAAGCAAAGTCTCTGTCACAACTCTTAAATTTAATATATTATAACTTTAATAAAACTGGTTAGTATTTTTTGCCTATGCTAACTGGAAAGGGTTTGAGTGATAAAATGGAAACATGGTAGATGTTACCTAGCATGTTGTGGTAAAGTGGAATGGCCCATCCATGGGTGGTAAATGCAGTCATGACTAGTGGGCCCGTTACACCTGCAGGCAATTACAGAACAGAAAACATCATTCTCCATCACAGTGACATGCACACACATGCACCAGTGCTCACACATGGAGCCTTGGAGGAAGAACATGGGAAGCAAGCACATCAAGTACCTATCCATCAGGCCGATGCAGTCTTCAATACTTGAGCCTATGCACCTGCAGAGGATGCAAATTTAGAAAAATACAAGGAAAGAAAAATTAGTAATCAAAAAAATCGGCAAGATAAATACTGTGAAAAATTCTAAATTTCACTTAGACAATTTTGGAACACCCTGAATTTAAAACCAGAGGGAAGATTATTGCTTGATGAATATAAAGAAATGAATTGCAATCACCACCAAAGTGGAATGCCAAGAAACATGTACACAGTAAAGGAAATTGCATCCTGGTTCTGTGGATAATTTCCAGGGACATACAGGTCATTTCTAACGCTTTTAATTCATTTGCATCATTTACAATTATATGCATGGATGAATAAGTTGGTATTTCAATGACTGGAATTGTCTTTGTGTATATAATTTCTTCTAAAAGGCTCTAAGTTTAAGTAAAGACCAAAATCAATAAAAAGGAAATGAGCAATTCAGTGTAATATAATAACTTGATGTTTAATGCTCATTAAAAATTAAAAATGAGTTAACAGCTTTAATGCTATTCCCAGGGATACTTTACATAATTGGATTATTTCAATCTTGGATATACATGCTTTAAAAACATATCTATCTTTAAACATTACCTTATTTAAAAATACAATTAACTGATTTGACCATATTGAAGTTTACCTTGATGAACTTTTTAAAGATAGCAGTGCCATAACATATAAACAAAAACAGATTTTCAAACTGTCAAACTGTCATAATATTGAATGCAAATGATAACAAATAAATGCTGTTTAAGTAAATGAATAAACAGAAACCCAAGTAACAAAAGAATCTACTGGTAAGAATATTTATATGAAGTTATATAAGTACACACAATTCTGTGATCTGTTCCCTAGAATTTCATTTTTAGTTATTGTAACAATATTATTTCCTCCATCTTCCAATGAACTTGAATTATTTCCCTTTCTTCCTGTTAGAGATTAATACTTTTAGGAAATTGTCAAGATTCCTTCTATAGCAATGATTTTTAGAACTGCCTAATTTGGCTGGTATTAAAGATTATACATATTTTTCCAAATTCAAAACTGAAAAAGGAGCTGAAGTTAAAATCATAAAATGATGTAAAACATGTTCATATATTAGGCGAGACTATGTAGCATATATTTATATAACTGCTAACATTAGTGAACTAATATTACCTGAAATAATATTTGTCACTATCTTTCTGCCTTATGAATAGCTGTTATAATATTCCTACACGGTAGGAAATTAGTTTGCTTGTGTTTGGGGTTGAGAATTTGTTTTAGGAAGCAAAGACAAATACAAACCTTTATAAACGTGGGAAACACTTTAAAAAAATAAGAGAATAGGAAATAAGTAGCTCACATATCAGTGAATTGGTAAAACACAGAATGTGTAATCAAAACCATTTGTAAAAAATGGAAAATTAAGTACAAAATTCTTCCAAATTGTCTTATATGGTTTTCTCTTATTTTGTTCCAAATAACTTATTCTTCTAAGTTGCTATGATATACTCTTCAAAATGCTTTTATATTGCCATTTTGTAAAATAGTCTACTTATTTCCATGTGAGAACCTGAAAAGCTTTGCAATCTTTATAATAACCTTTAGAAGATAAACATATTGAATAGTGAAGTTTGACTTGAGTGAAAAGTAAGATCACTCATTCAGAAAACCTGTGCTGCATGCCTACTAAAATGTTCCCTCTCTTCTATGAGCTGAAGGGAGAAAAAAAAGATGAATTAGATGTTGTTCTTGTTATAATTGAGCTCACAATTTAATGAAGGAGACAGATGCATAAGCAGAAGTATATAATATAATGTGTTGAGTGCAATAAGACACATGAAAATGAGATTTAGAAGTGTGGAGGAGGGACACTGTCCAGCTCCAGAAGGTCATGGTTACCATTCTGGAGGACAGGAAGCTGGAGTTTAATGGCATTGAGATTTGGGGTTGCAGTGGCAGTGATTTTTAAGAGGTGAGCAACAGCAGAAGCAAAATCATCAACATGAAGAAATACACAGTGTATATGAACAACTACAAATAATTCTGAAGAGTTGGAGAGCAAACAAGTAAAGAGCAAAAATTAGTGTTCAGAACCAGATTTTGAGGATTATTTGCTTGACAAACAACTTAATGGAAAGCCACTATCTAGTTTTAAAGAAGTCATAAAATTGCTAGATTTGTATTTTAAATATATCTCTTTGCCATCTGGAGCCTAGACAACTAGGAGACAGGCAGACACCTTTGGTATAGAGAATATCATACTACATGTAAGAGATGATGGACTGAATAAGTGAAATGGTAACTAGGACACCAGCGAAAGAGAGATTCACCAGGTGCCTTTAGAGGTATGGTGGAAAACAAGAGAGGTGATAGAAGTAAAAAGATCAAAGGAATTAAAATGACTCATATTCCTATCTTTGAGAAGAGCAGTAATGTCTATGACAGAATCCAAGAAGAGGATCAAGTTTCCTTCTGTGTGTGTTAAAGAAGGAGCAGTTGATGCTCTCAGTTTTTTGTACCTAAAATTAAATATGATTATTCTACTTCTAGGTAGAAATGTTCTTCACCAGGTAAAAATGTAAGTCTGGTGACAAGGGTGGAAAGAAGGGAAAGTATCATGATCAGTTTTGAAATAAAATACAGGAGAGAGTTGAAAACATGTTAATGGATAGTTGACTAAAGAATATATAAAGCAAAAAAAGCAGAGGCTAATGACTGAAACTCTGAGCTCTAATAGCATATAACATCAGATAAGTTTTTGTGTCTGAAGCATGGGAAAATATAACTGACTAAAATTAACTGCAGCATCCCTAAAACCAAGTCAGAAAATAATCTCAAGAAAGAGATTGGAAGAGTCAAAATAGCAAGAAAGGGACTGAAACAGCTATGGAATACTGCAATTCCCCCAAAAATTATTGCTGGAAAGTAGAATATTTACAGAAAGATCAGAAAAGAAATCCATAATATGTCTACATTCCAAAACAATTTCTGGAGTTCTTGATATGGAGCCATGTTTTACATTTGTTGTTATTTAATGATGTGTAAGGACCTTTGATATATCCATACAACACAGTTTAAACATTTTGGGAAAATGTCTATATTTTGAAATTAAAATAGGGAAAATTTTTATATTTTTCAACTTAAAGAGCAGTGTGTTAATAATTTCATGAGCAGGTAATCTTTCCCTCTCCATATCAATGGATGTTTTTATTATGTAAATTAAAAATATAAAAAGTAACTTATGAAAAGAGATAAAGGTACATTTCAAATGTGACTATAATACTAAAAAAAATAAGATTTTTAAAAGATGACCCATTAAGTAAACATTCCAATATTTATCCGATATATCTCTATATAGGAATAAATATAGAATTTTTAAGCTGAAAGCACTGTAAGAATGGGACTAAGGCAGAAAGAAGAAAATAGAGGCGAGGAACCAAACCATACTACAGTAAATACATACATGGAAGTGCCACAAGGAAACTCCCTGTGCAGCTAATCTTAAAGAAGCAAAAATTGTCATTTTTTTCTTCTTCTTTTTTTTCTTACACAAAACCAGAGAACAGGAGGGTGGTCAGGTCCTGCCTGGATTGTTGGTACTAGTAGGAGGAGGGAGGAGGTGGGGAAATGGTGAGGGAGGCAAATATATGCAAATACTGTGTACACGTGTATATAAATGGAAAAATGATACCTCTTGAAACTATTCCAAGAATGGGGGAAAGGGGAATGAAGGAGAATGTTGGAAGGGGGAAATTCAAGTATGATATATTTGATATGTTTTCAGAACTTTTATATATGCCACAATGTACTGCCACCCACCACAACAATAAAAAAATAAAATATATTTGGTTTGAAATAAAACTAAAATGAAATTGCCATTAAATCAGCATGGACTTAAGTGTTACTGAAGAAACTACAACCCCTGTAATCATTGCCATCTAATTACATAATAAATTTAATTGACAAGCTGTCTTAAAATTTAAATGTGGGTAATTACAGATATGATCATCATTACTATATTGTAAATTCTTATTCATCCTTTAAACTCAGTAGAGAAGGGTCTGGTATTTAATAGGGGATATATATTGAAGAGTGTAAGTTCACTTGATAGCGAGTACATTGATGTCAAGAGCTGTGTCTTGCTCATTTCTGAAGTTGCCTATCACTGTCTCTGATGCTAAGTATGTATGTAGCAGAACAGAGTTGAGGAATTAATGAAATAAGAATATGCTGCTGAAATGTGTCCTATAAGTCAAGGCAAGAAGAAATAATGCTATTTTTTTAATCTTGCTCTTCTAGGTATATTGGTGAAAATCTCCGGATGGGAGCTAACAGGATAACCTATTTTAAGAGTATCTGAAGGACTTAATAGACCCAGTGCATGTAATGTACTTTTGGAGTAGTAAAAGTGCTTTTAAGGTACTACATGGATAATTTTATTTTCAGAAAAATCATTAAACTGTATTCAAACTAGGAACTTTACTTCTAAAATATGTAATTGGAAAGACTTTTTCTATTAACTTGGTTCTTGAATTATCTGACATAATATTGGCATTTAAAAGAAAAGCTACTTTCAGAAGTAGAGCTAACCTGGTGATCTTAGTGATAAGATCAGTTATTACATGTGTTAAGAATAAAAACAGTCATTCATCTCATTATCCCCACTGCCCCTGTGATCTTAATATTTCTACATGATCACAGTCAATCTGAAAAGAAGGGGCCGACCACATGGAACACCTCCATCACTTTAGTACAAGATCTTAAAACACAATGGCTATGAAATAGAGTACATAGAAGGTAAAGAAATTTAAGATTTCAACTTTACAGGAATTTGTACATGCTATGTGGGGGCTGGAATCACAGCATTTTTATGAAGTGAGTAAGTCTCAGCAATATAGGGGCTATTAGGAAGAGGATAGCAAGAAGCTAAATAAACACAACCAAAATCCCACAAGACTAAGTCAGTCATTACAGAATGCGTATTTAACTTGAAAA